GGGATGCAAGGATGTTTCAATATACGGAAATCAATAAATGTTATTCACCACATCAATAGACTTAAAGATAAGAACCATATGATCATCTCGATAGATGTAGAAAAAGCATTCGACAAAGTACAGCATCCCTTTATGTTCAAAACACTAGAAAAACTAGGGATAACAGGAACTTGCCTCAATATTGTAAAAGCAATCTATGCTAAGCCTCAGGCTAGCATAATTCTGAATGGAGAAAAATTGAAGGCATTCCCTCTAAAATCTGGAACAAGACAGGGATGCCCTCTCTCACCACTTCTGTTCAACGTAGTTCTCGAAAAACTGGCCAGAGCAATTAGACAGATGAAAGAAATTAAAGGCATAAAAATAGGAAAAGAAGAACTTAAATTATCACTGTTTGCAGAAGACATGATTATATACCTAGAAGACCCAAAAGGGTCTACAAAAAAACTACTAGAACTAGTAAATGAATTCAGCAAAGTGGCAAGATATAAAATCAACACGCATAAATCAAAGGTATTTCTGTATATCAGCAACAAAACTTCTGAAACAGAAATGAGGAAAAACACCCCATTCACAATATCCTCAAAAAAAAAAATAAAGTACTTGGAAATCAACCTAACAAAAGAGGTGAAAGATTTATACAATGAAAACTACAGAACCCTAAAGAGAGAAATAGAAGAAGATCTTAGAAGATGGAAAAATATACCCTGTTCATGGATAGGCAGAATTAACATCATCAAAAGGGCAATATTACCAAAAGTTCTCTATAGGTTTAATGCAATGCCAATCAAAATCCCAATGGCATTTATTGTAGAAATAGATAAAGCAATTATGAAATTCATATGGAAAAATAAAATACCCAGAATAGCAAAAGCAACTCTAAGCAGCAAGTGTGAATCAGGCGGCATAGCGAAACCAGATTTCAAACTATACTACAGAGCAATAGTAACAAAAACAGCATGGTACTGGTACCAAAACAGGCGGGTGGACCGAAGGTACAGAATACAGGACACAGAGACTAATCCACAAAGTTACAACTATCTTATATTTGATAAAGGTGCTAAAAGCATGCAATGGAGGAAGGATAGCATCTTCAACAAATGGTGCTGGGAAAACTGGAAATCCATATGCAACAAAATGAAACTGAATCCCCTTCTCTCGCCATGCACAAAAGTTAAATAAAAATGGATCAAGGAGCTTGATATCAAATCAGAGACTCTGCGTCTGATAGAAGAAAAAGTTGGCTCCGATCTACATATTGTGGGGTAGGGCTCCAAATTCCTAATAGGTCACCCATAGCACAAGAGTTAATAACAAGAATCAACAAATGGGACTTACTTAAACTAAAAAGTTTTTTTCTCAGCAAGAGAAACAATAAGAGAGGTAAATAGGGAGCCTACATCATGGGAACAAATCTTTACTCCTCACACTTTAGATAGAGCCCTAATATCCAGAGTATACAAAGAACTCAAAAAATTAAACAATAAGAAAACAAATAACCCAATCAACAAATGGGCCAAGGACCTGAACAGACACTTCTCAGAGGAGGACATACAATCAATCAACAAGTACATGAAAAAATGCTCACCATCTCTAGCAGTCAGAGATATGCAAATCAAAACCACCCTAAGATACCATCTCACTCCAGTAAGATTGGCAGCCATTATGAAGTCAAACAACAGTAAGTGCTGGCGAGGATGTGGGGAAAAGGGTACTCTTCTACATTGCTGGTGGGAATGTAAATTGGTTCGGCCAATTTGGAAAGCAGTATGGAGATTCCTGGGAAAGCTGGGAATGGAAAGACCATTTGACCCAGCTATTGCCCTTCTTGGACTATTCCCTGAAGACCTTAAAAGAGCGTACTACAGGGATACTGCCACACCGATGTTCATAGCAGCACAATTCACAATAGCTATACTGTGGAACCAACCCAGATGCCCTTCAATAGATGAATGGATAAAAAAATGTGGCATTTATACACAATGGAGTATTATGCAGCACTAAAAAATGACAAAATCATGGAATTTGCAGGGAAATGGATGGCATTACAGCAGATTATTCTAAGTGAAGCTAGCCAATCCCTAAAAAAACAAATGCCAAATGTCTTATTTGATATAATGAGAGCAACTAAGAACAGAGCAGGGAGGAAGAGCAGGAGAAAAAATTAACATTAAACAGAGACATGAGGTGGGAGGGAAAGGGAGAGAAAAGGGAAATTGCATGGAAATGGAAGGAGACCCTCATTGTTATACAAAATTACATATAAGAGGTTCTTAGGGGAATGGGAAAAAACAAGGAGAGAAATGAATTACAGTATATGGGGTAGAGAGAGAAGATGGGAGGGGAGGGGAGGGGGGATAGTAGAGGATAGGAAAGGTAGCAGAATACAACAGTTACTAATATGGCATTATGTAAAAATGTGGATGTGTAACAGATGTGATTCTACTGCTGAGCCAAAGCCCCAGGCCCTGTTTCTTTTCTTTTCTTTTTTTTTAACTTTAACATTCAGTCATCAGGAAAATAGTGAATCTATTGAAGAATACAATACAGTGTCAATGGACACCACACCATTGGAATTAGGTGAAACTCTAAAGTGTGTCTAAGACCAAGCTCTAAGGGTCTCCTGTTATTCCCCTTTGTACCTATTTTATTTGTCATAGGCTTGTGAACATCTCTGCAATTGTTCATGAGCAATTGAATGATGTATATGCTGTGAAGGGGAATTATGGGGCTCATGTGTCCATGACACAGACACAAACAAGAGGTGCTCAATCTTGTCGCTGCTTCTGAGGGATATTCCTGAGTAGGATGAAGGTACAGAGAGAGCACCAGTGTGTTGAAACCCCACTGAGTATGGCCAGGACCTGTGCACAGAGCAGGGTCTATCCAATGATTAAAACTTTTTTTAAAAAAAAATTGTTTAACTCCTTGTGCCAAACAAGGTATGGACCCTTTGATATCAGTAGTGAAAGAGTTGGTGATTCTATCACATATACACATCATATAACTACAGAGGGGTATTTTGGAAATGGGAAACCAGTAAATTTAGGTCACAAGATATTTTAATAGTATTAAGATTAGCATATCCATATTATTAATAACTATATAGGTCATATTTGCCCATATTTTATACCTTCTCCTATATTAATCACGTAGGGAGCACAAGTTTGCTCATTAATCTGGATTCAATGACATTGTATCAACTAGAAATCACCTTGGATGATATTGCTGAGTAACAGAGACACTAACAACTTTCCCCAAGTTTACAAAAAACCAGCTGAGACAACAGAAACTGAAATCAAATCATGAATCTCAGTGTGAGATGCTAATCTTTTCACTGTTTTTCATCCATCACAATATTTTAACCTGAATCCAGAGGTCTTAGCTGCAGGCACCTACCAAATACAGTCTTAATCCCTTCCAAGTCCCTGAGTAGTCATGAAATCATGACATGCTTTGCTTCCTCCAAAGAAGAGGCCTGATTCCCAGAATTCAGGAGGATGTGGCAGCAGCAAGGGTGTCCTGCAGAGGGGGACACAGGGAACTCAGGGCTGGTTGATTTGTGCCCACTTAACCATAGATTGTCACCTCATTTAAGCCACTTTTCCAGAATTAGTGCAAGTGTTAGTCCTGGGATCTACTGGAAATCCCAAGTGAAGGGCACAGAGAAATAGAGTCCCATTCTGAAGGGACAGAAAATGACACAGGGTTGCTTGTGAAAGGGAAAATCTGCCAGCACTGTCCTACCAAGATGTGATGTGTCACAAATCCACAGTGCATTTCACACATAGCTTCAGTTATTTGACTTAAACTGCTAGCCCAAGTTACAAAAATACCTGATCCTCTCTATTCTGTCAAATACAACAACTTGGCACTTATACCTTGGTGAAGATTTTGCAGATGAATTTAAGAATCTGCAAATAGCACACAATTCAGTGCCTGGCACTCAGGGATCTCTTGTGGAAGGATCATATGTTTGGATGCTGTCCTCATCCAGGTCCACCTCCTCCTCCTCACCTACATAGAGTGAGTGCTAAGGTCAGTGTGAAGGAGCACATGCCCTTCATTTACAGATGACAGTGTGTGGTAAGAAGGATCAGTGTTGGAGGAAAGGAAAACTATAGTGAGATTGCCGCCATGCTCACCACCACCGTGGATATCACACACAGGCCTCAACTCTCAGTCCCCATGACTGACACTGTGCAGTGTTCTCCCCTCTGGGCAGCCACACTGCATGTTGGTCTTTCCTCCATCCTCACCTCCTTCAGCAGTTACCTATTTACACTGGCTCAGGTGGTCATGACAAAGGAGAGTGGATTCCACATGGCTGGTACCCAGGGGCCTCCCACCTCATCTTTAGGGCTGACATCTGTGCATGCTCAGGTAGGGGCTTCCTAATAGACACAACCAGGGTGAGAAGAAACACAGTGTGGGGCCCACCTGACTGGAGCCATCAAACAGAAATGCTGGAGGCACAGGCTGCTCATTGTCTGTGGTGTGACCTTGGAGGTTAAAAACATAAAATTTCTTACTGGCCACTATGTGAGCATATCACAGGCTCTACAGTGTCATTAAAGAACGATGAATATCAACTAATGTTTTTCAGCAATTGTTAGTAAAAAAGAAGTTAATCTGTACTATTGATTTCTTTCAATTGTTTCCTTTTTTAACAGGAGCTTTTTAGGTCTCTTTCATTATGGTAAATTTAAATTATAAAAACTTGTAATTATCATTGTTAAATGAATAGCTGTGTGGCATTAAATATACAGATAGTTGTGAAACAATCACTATTATTTATCTCCATCATTCTTATCTTACCCAAGTAAAACCTAATGTTCCCAGTATGAAAACAACTAAATATCCTTTCCCAACATGAGATCCAACCATTCTACTATAAAAATTGATGAGAAAATAGCATACAGGGCATAATGCCAGGTCCAGGCATCGACTTTTGCTGCATTTGTGGCATGCATTGCAACCAGAGACCACAGGTCCTGAGGTCAGAGTGCCCTACTATGCAGCCTCCTCAGGGCACTTTTAATGTCCCTGTTCCTCAGGCTGTAGATGAAAGGGTTCAGCATGGGGGTGACCACAGTGAACATCACTGAGGCCACCGCATCTTTTTTGAGAATTTGTGATGCAGCTGATCCAAGGTACACTGCAGAGGCAGTTCCTAAAAATAAGCCAACAACTGCCAGGTGAGAGCCACAGGTGGAGAAGGCTTTTCACTTCCCACCTGAAGAAGGGATCCTCAGAATGGAGGAAATAATTTTATAGTAAGTGAAAAAGATCCCTGAGAGAGGAAACAGGCCATAGATGGCTGCAAGAAAATACTTGGCAATGTTATTAGAGAATGTGTCAGAACAAGAAAGATTCAGGAGTTGAGAAGGGTCACAGAAGAAACTAGAAATTTCCACATGCTTGAAACTGGTAATTTGTAAGATCATCAAATTGTGCAGCTGAGAATCAAAGAGGCACAGAAAAAAGGACCCCAAAACTAAGAAGCCACAGAGGTGAGGGCTCATAATGACCTGATAATGTAGTGGGTGGCAGATGGCCACAAACCGGTCATAGTCCATCATAGTCAGAAGTATATAATCCATATAACCAAGAAGGAGAAAAAGAGACATCTGTGTCAGGCAGTCCCCATAGGAGATGACTCTGCTTTGAGTTTGGATGTTCACAATCATCTTTGGGACCGTGGTGGAGATGAAGCAGATGTCAGCCAAGGACAGGTTGGAGAGAAAGAAGTACATAGGGGTGTGGAGGTGGGGGTCAGAGCTGACAACCAGGATGATGAGCGGGTTCCCAAGCACTGTGACCAGGTACATGGACAGGAAGAGTCCAAAGAGGATGGGCTGCAGGTCTGGGTCCTCTGAGAGTCCCATGAGATAGAATTTAGAGAGAAATGTTAGATTTTTTGCTTGCATATTTCCTGGGCATCTTTTGAAACAAACAAGGAGTTTTGAAAACAGAAAAACATAAAACAGGTACCACACATTCTATAAACAATATAATTCAAATATGAACCAGCAAGGTGCTCACACTTTAGGTCTGTGTATCTTCAATAATAATGTTTGGCAGTGAAATACGCAGTCTCCTTTATCATTACTTCCTCCATCATTCACCCTCTTTCTATACTCACCTTGGAGATACTGAACTGAGCAATATTAGAAATCCAGGAGCAAAGGAGAGAAGAAGTTCATGATCACAATGAAATTTAGCTTACTGTTTTAAAAAAATCAGATAATAAGTAATGACCTTTCTATAAGGAAAATTAAGAAGCAGTTTGATATACCTCATTTTGTTCTAAGGCTTTTGGACAAAAACCTTTGAGAAGATATAGATGATTGCAAGGACTGCTTTTAATGTCCACTAAATTAAAATTAATGCAGCATAACCAGAATGCATTGTGTTCCAATTTTCTGCAAGAATTCTCATTATTCTTGATCCTCTCATTTGCTTCTGTTGTGGATTTGTTTTTCTTCAAAAATAATATAATATGAAATAATTAGCTTATTAGTTCCCACTGGATAGTTTTCAGCACAGGTCGACAGGGCTTAATACAAGTACATCTTACAAATATTTCCAGTTTCATGAGTAGGAATGAAAACAACACCTGACCTTAGGTTTTGTTTGAGAGTGAGAGGGCTGTTTTCAAGCATGGAGGAGCATGTGGTGAGCTCAAGGAGGTCCTGGAGGGGGCCCAAAGTATGACCTGTGTTGAATGATTGTGAGCCTCCCCTACTGTGATATCTCTTGTGACTTGTGACCATTCTTCCATAGAGCATGTTGCAGGTGTCCATATTTTTCTGCCCTGTATCCCCAGGAATCCCACAAGGAAAAGCACCGTGTGCAAGGCTCTCTTTCTGCAATGAAAGAGAGTGAAATGGCTGATTGGCTTGCCCATGGGACAGCCTTCCAGGATCCTCCTGGGATGCCCTGTGTTCATGGTCAGATAGCCCAACACAAACACGCCGCTCTCTATCCCACCTAACAAAACTGAGTTGCATAAATACAATGGTTTTCTTTGTTTACTGTAAAATACACTAAATTGGGTGTGCAAAAGCAGAGCAGGATGCTGTACATGGAATGGAAGAGAGGACAAGAACAGGCTGCTCAGCCCTCAGCCTGGACAACCTGCACGTCAGTTCATGATCTCTGGCTTCTGTCATCACCTCATCATCCCATCACCACAGTCACAGCACTTTCATAGTGATTAGGAAATTATTTTAAGGACTGTCATATTTTGTGCATTTGTGGTTGAGTTTCTATGGAAAATAGAACCAGTTTGGGTAAGAATGAATTTTTTTAAAGATATCTGATACCCTCATCTTAAATAAAAACCAAAACTTTATGAATTCATATACAATTCTGTACGTGTGGGTGTCCTTCCATCTGGCTACTCAAACAGTGATGTTTTTTCCTCAAGGTGAGAAAATGTTACTCCCAGTAATTCTTAGAACATCCCAGAGCAGATGCTGCATTTATTGGGTTAGTTGATTCTCCACTGGTCATGAAATGGAAGTGCCCATCCCAAAACCTACCCATACTTGTTGCCCAACAAAGGCTCAGGCTCTGTGCCCAGCATTCCCATGAATATGCTGTCAGCTGGGTGCTTCCTGATGCAGAACCACAGCAGGGGACACAGCCACGCAGTGCACTGGACAAGAACAATCCACTGAAATGCTGCAGGCACAGGCTGACTGTGGACTAATATAGGACCTTGGAAGCTCAATACACAGAGCTCACAATTAGACTAATCAGTCCATGCAATGCCCATCTCTAAGGACTTCCTACTATTAATGCAGGAACATGAAGAAAAGAAAACAAAGGTCCACTTAAGATTTGGACCCTAGCTATAATTGGGAGGCACCTTATATTCTCAGTTTACTTTTTTCTCTTTATTAGTATTTAAAGATACATCTCCTTTTAATGTCCAATTCTTATTAGGTAAAAATATAAATAACAAAAATCACTATATGAACCATAAGAAGCATACATTTCAGTGACAGGTATTTGGTCATTAAGTTTTTTTTTTTTAATTAAAGCATTTAATTTTAATTAAGCATTCAGTCATTAAATTAATAGTGTTAAATTACTTAAGCATTCAGTCATTAAATTAATAATGTTAAATTAACTGCTCAAATGACTCTGCAGCATTGGAATGATGTGAAACTCTAAAACACACCTCAGACCAAGCTCTAAGGGTCTCCTGTCACTTCCTCTTTTTCCTCCTCTGCTTTTCCTAGTCTCATGGATGTCCCCACCATTGTTCTTGAGTAATTGGAGGTTGTAAATGCTGTTAAGGAGAAGTATGGGGCTCCTGTGTTCATGGCATAGACACAGACAAGATCTGCTCAATCATGTGTCTGGCTCTGTGGGACATTCCTGCTGAGGAGGAAGGGACAGAGGACAGCACCAGTGTGCAGAAACCCCACTGAGCAAGGCCAGGACCTGAGCAAAGAGCAAGGGCTTAACACATTTTGCTCTATTTTTTCTCCTGTGTCTAATGTGGTCTATAGGCTCTGAGGAATCAGAAATGAAGGTGAGATGGTCATTTCACCCCAAATATTCAGTATACACCTACATAAGAGTAGTATGAAAATGTACCATTATAGAAATTGAAAACACTAACTTTAGATCCAAAGATATTTCAGTTGAGTAGTATGAACATTTGCCTTTCCATTTTATTAATAACTATCTAATTTTTGCCCATATTTTACACCTTCATCACATATCAGCCACACAGAGAACAAAGTTTTCTATTTAATCTGGAGTTAATGACATTGGATGCACTGGAAATCACTTTGGATCACATGGCTGTTTCAGAGACTCTAGCAAACAGCCAGGTGTTGGAGGAAAAAAATAAAATGAGTCCAGCCAACAGCAGCCAAAATTAAATTGTGACTCTCTGGGGTCTGATGAACTAAACTTTTTCACTGTTTTCCATCCATTAGAATATTTTAAGCTGAATCCAGGGGACTTAGCTGCAGGCACATTTTTCAAATTCCTGAGTAGTAATGCAGTCCAGACCTGCTTTGTCTCCTCTTCAGATGGATAGGGCTGGGAACCAGAATGCAGGAGGATGTGGCAGCTTCAAGGATATCTTGGAGTAGCAGAAACAGGGAGGTCTGTGCTGGATTATTTGTGCCTACTTCACCTTAAATTTTTGTCTCATCTCAGCCATTCTTTCAGAAGTGGATCAATTGACAAACTAACTGCTCTGAATTGGGATCTACCAGAAATCCCAAAGGGAAGTACACATGAAAAGGAAGCCCATCTTGCAGAGAAAGGAAAGTACAACCCTCTGTTGTTTTTGAAGGGGACAACCTTCCAGCACTGGCCTGACAAAATGCCATGTGCCTCAAACCCACACTACATTTCAAACGTGGATTCAGTTGTTCTTATTGAACACCATCACGATTCATATAAACACCTGTACTCTTTCCTGCTGTCTAAAATAAAATTGTGTGACACTTATGCTGTGGGAAGACTTTGCACATGAATTCAAACAACCTGCAAATAACACATAGTTTAGCAGTGGCACTCAGTAATCCCCAATAAAAGATCATCCTCATCCTCATCATCTACTTCATAAATCTTTTGAATTGCTTACCACACATTCTCTCCTATTGTGGATGACAGTGTGTGGCAGGAATAAGACAAGGTTTTCCAGGAGCTTTCTCTTGTGCACACCACAACCAAGCCTATGAACTCACAGAATCATCACTCATCATCTGGCCCTTGTTCTCCCATCTGATAGGCAAACTGCATGCTCCTCATTATGGTGAAGAAATAATGCTGTGGAATGCCCTTCCTACACCCTTCACCTCCCACAGCAGTTACTGATTCACACTGGGGCTCTGTTGATGTAGAACTAAGGAGAGTAGCTCCAAAGCCCCAAGTCCCTGATGCCCAGTGGCCCCCACATCAGCCTTCCAGTACCAACACAAGCTCAGCTAAGAGCTTCCTGATGCAGACATCCACAGCAAGAAGAGCAGGTATGGAGCCCACTGGACTGGAGTCCTCAAGTCGAAGGGCTAGAAGAGGCAAATACTGATTGTTGACTATTGTGTGAACTTGGTGGCTCAATGCCTAGGGCGTCCAATTTACCAAGTAGTTGAAACATATCAGGAAGAAGAGGAAGATAAAATAGACATCAATAAATGTTCACAGTTTGTATCAACTAATAACGAGGTTCTTCTCTAATATTAATTTCTTTTTAAAGATTTTTTCATATTAGTATTATCATGGTAAATTTAAGCTACAAAAAGTTACAATTTCACCTTTCTCAAGTATATATATTGAAGCATTAATCACATGTGTATTTTTATGACACTGACACCATGATATATCTCCAAAATTTTTCATTTTTCCAAAGTGATAATTAGTTCCAAATGTGAAAAATTCCCAAACATTCCTTCAAAGATTAGTTACAGGCATTGAACAAAGAATGTGAGAAACTAATTAGAAAAGAAAAAAAAATAATAAAAAAAGGAATAAAAGGCTCTGCTTTTTTTGGCCTCACATATATATGCTGGATAGAGTTCACTCCACAGCCAATCAGAGTCCTGGAAGAGCACAGGCTCAGGAGTTTGGCTGTGGTCGCTTGGCAATGACTGTTTCCAGGAGGACCACTACCAAACCATGAGCTCCACTGTGGATGGTGCTGTGGGGAGACTTGGCTCAACTCTAAGAGCTAGGTTGCGATTGCAGAGGCAGTTTTAGGTGAGGGAGAGGGAAGATGCCTCTGAGACCCTAGTCTCTGCCAAGGAGAATTTTTTTGGCTTGGGAACTCATGACCAGGGGCCCTCAGGCTCCTCCACCAGCCTGAGGATGACGTGCCTGTGCTTTGGGCAGGGAGGTCTTAATAGATGTAGCTGGCCCACATACCAGGTAGGATACAACCTGTGAACAATGTGCAGAAGGCTGTAAGTGTGGGCAGCAGATGAGAAGAACAGGTAATAGGCTGGAACCTAGCAGCAAGAAGCCTGAGGCTCCGGAAGGAGGACATGTGTGAGAAGTAAGCAAAGTCCGGCTTGCACAGCAGGAGGAAGACCAGGGAGGAATGATCTCCCTCACTAAGACACCTGGTGGCACTGCCCCTAAACCGCCTCAGCCCTGGGACCTGCAAACTAGGAGGGGCCTGATGCCTAGTCCACCTTGATGAGTAGCCAAATAAAAACTGGCTTATCATTCACTAAAAATAAAAATTAAAAAAGAATGTGAAAAACTAAAAACTAAACCTCTGAGTATTACTATAAGTTCAGATTAAAGGACTGTATGTTGAGCTTTTCTGGATTTTCTAATAAACAGTGCAACTGGATTCTTCATATGCTATATTAGACATTTCTGCTGTTTCTACCACCTCCTCAGAACACTTTTAATGTCACTGTTTCTCAGGCCATAGATGAAGGGGTTGAGCATAGGGGTGACCACAGTGTACATCACTGAGGCCACTGCACCCTTCCTGGGAGAATATGATGGAGCTGAACCAAGGTACACTCCAAAAGCTGTTCCTAAAAATAAGCCAACAACTGCCAGGTGAGACCCACAGGTGGAGAACGCTTTGTACCTCCCCACTGAGGATGGGATCCTCAGAATGGTTGAAACAATTTTATAGTAGGAGAAAAGGATCCCTGAGATGGGGAAAAGGCTACATACTGCTCCAAGAAAATACTTGACCAAGATATTATAGAAGGTGTTGGAACAGGAGAGACTGAGAAGCTCAGAAGGGTCACAGAAGAAACTAGCGATTTCCATGTCCTTGAAGTTGGTGATTTGTAACATCATTAAAATGTGCAGTTGGCATTCCAAAAGGCTGAACAGAAATGACAACAAAGTTAAGAAGCCACAGAGGTGAGAGTTCATCATGATAATTCAGGGGATGACAAATGGCCACAAAACGATCATAGGCCATCACAGACAGGAGCATATAATCCATACATGCAAAAATGGTAAAAAGAGACATCTGAGTCAGGCAGCCCACATAGGAGATGGCTCTGCTGTGAGTTTGGATGTCCACAATCATCTCTGGGACTGTGGTGGAGATGAAGCAGATGTCAGTCAAGGACAGGTTGGAGAGGAAGAAGTACATGGGGGTGTGGAGGTAGGGTTCAGAGCTCACAGCCAGGATGATGAGCAGGTTCCCAAGCACTGTGACCAGGTACATGGACAGGAACAGTCCAAAGAGGACGGGCTGCAGTTCTGGGTCCTCTGAGAGGCTCAGGAGTTGGAATTCAGAGACATCTGTTAGATTTTGTGCATCTAGATAACTGAGATATCTTTTGATAAAAAGAGTAAGGGAAAAGAAACATATCAGCAAGCACCCCTCACTCTGTGTACATTTGAATTCAAGTATTCACAAGGGTTGTTCTCACACTGGAGATCCACATGCCTTCAATGTAATTCTCAAAAGTGTACACCCTGACTTGCATACTCTTTACTCTCCATCATTCACCCCTCTTTCCACACCCTATTTGCAGACATTGAACTGAGAAATATTAGAAGCCCAGGAGCAGAGGAGAGAAGAAGTTCATGATCACAATAAAATATAGTCTACTGTTTGAAGGAAATTTCAGGAAACCGTACTAACCTTCCTATTAAGCAAAAACTAATCTTCATTAAAAAGTTAATTAAGCACCAGTTCATTTTAACTTATTTTTTTGCTAAGAAGTTGAGACAAATTTCTTTGACTTATTCCACTTAAGACACCACTGACAGTAGGTTTGTCAGATATCTTCAAAGGGTTTCAACATTCATTGATTTCCTCATTTCCTTCCTCTGGGTTTTAAGCTTGCTGTTCAAAACATTTATAATATAAAACAAATATTCCAGTCTTTAGAGAACTTCAGATTTCAATTGATACGATTGAGTTAAATGCACATAATCAACAGTAACACAACCAATGTGACAGAAGTATATGATATTGAAATCATAAACAAAGAGAAACACTTTGAATAGTTTAATTTTATAAAATATTATTTGTATCAATCCATACAATATAAGGACATTATCTGCTGTACAAATAAGTCTTTTGTTCTTTTTTTTTCCCCATCTGACCTGTTAAAACTGCTTCTTCATTTTGTAATCTCAGCCCATCAAGTTTGCAGTTGACGATTTTAGCACCATTGAAAGTTCCAGACTCAGATCTCTTTTCTAACCACCCTGGCCACATCATGGATGTCTGACCATTCCTGAGACATGCACTGCAGTTCTCTTCCCAAAGCCACATAACGGTAACTTAAGTTTGTTATTTGCCAGTTTCCACTGTGACTGAATTGGAAAATAGCACAAAAAAAGTATAGGAAATAAAGCAAACACTTCTGGGTAATTTCCAAATTGTAAATATGGGGAAATAATCATGAGCCTTGTATGGTCAATATATGAGATTATGTTTTAAATCTTTCCAATTGCATACTAATGCTTCTGTCTCATTATTATATACACCTGTGGGTACTTTTGGATGTACTTTAAGACATTAGACACACACCAATTTAATCAGCATATATGCACATGAAGTCCTTTCTTACAACAGAAAAGGAAACCACAGTCTAACAATATCCTGGCACTTAGAACATGCTCTGAACTATTAGCTATTATTATAGTTAATAATAACCATGACTTTTTTAAAACATACAATTTTGATGACACCTGACTCAGGACTAACATTAGAACAAGATTTGAACAATTATCTAAGAAATTTGTATTTCTGCATGATTCCATTTTCCTGCAAACCTGTCTCCCAAACACACCTACTGTCAGGAAGCGGGATAACTTTCTGTTGTTATTCCTTTGTCAACATTATCTACCCAGACATCTTTCTTATTAAATATTGCCTTAAAAGTAATTAGAGCTCATCTAACTAGTGGGCAACACAATACTAACTGCCCGTAAATGTACTGCTTTACACTCACTTGTGGTGTGAAGTCTCTTTGTAAAGCACATTTCTCTACTTTAAAGTCTTTATCAGATGCAAAGTATTGGAGAAAGGACCTCCTTAAATTAAAAAAAAAAAATTAATATGGCAATCATTTCAAAGCCCTTCTTCCTCCCTCCTAGTCACACAAATAAGAATGTCTGGATAACTTGTTGTTTGATTTCCAATGAAAAAGGCATGTCCAAATTTACTATAAATGACCTGAATTTCTGTCCCTACAAGAACAGTCAAAATCACCTGCATCTTCTAAATTCCTTATATGTATCAGGAAAATGAAGCTCCATGCCCAAGTAGTAATATGCTGTCCTTGAAGTCTCCTGAGGAAATTTCAACTTGTGCAGGGAATACTGTTTCCATCTGGCTGCAGCAGAAGAGCTGGTGCCCTGGTTTGGAGTCAGGAAGGCAGCATTTCAGACCCACATCCCACCTTCCAGTGTGTGCACAGTGTGCGAATCTCTCCTCCTCTCCCTGCTCACTGCTTAAGGGAAACACAGAAAATAACACCATCTCCACAACATGTGCAGCATCAAAGGGAAATTTGAAACTTAATAAATATTTGGTCACTATGATTTCAATAAACAAATTCCATGATTAAGTAACTATTCGCATTATGGAGGAAAACCATGGTCAAGGACAGTGGAGGCTGGAATGAGGTGAAACTCTGACCTGTGCCTCATGGAAGGCTGAGGTGTTAAGTGCCCTTCACCTTCTGCCTCCTTGCCTTTCTTCAAAACCATGCAAATCTCTGCTATGATTTCTAAAACTCTATCTACTGTGCATGATATTAAATAAAATTAAGGGTTCCTATTTCCAAAACATGGATAGAGAAGGACACTGTTTTAGTGTGTCTCTGTTCCCTTGGACACTGCTGGAAGGAAGGAAAGTTCAGCCAGGAGGCCACAGTGTGTTCATCCAAATTTATTCTGACCAATTTAGGAAAGAAAATGTGGGTGGTTTCAATGCTCAAAAGACTTTCTCTTTAGGTGACCCCCTATGCCAAGCAGGGCACAGGCCCCAGGGGATCAGAAATAAAAAAAAAAAAGTGAGACATTCTTCCGAATACACAGCACATCTGTAAGGCCAAAAATAAAACATGCCATCTAGAAATAGGAAAATTGTCACTACTGGCCACTGAACAAACTAGTTGAGCGCCATTAAGCTTAATCTAGACATTACTAACAATAACAATAATATCCAGGTTTTATTTTGACCAGATTTTATTCACATATCTCATATTCTGTCATCACTCAGTGCAGTTGCATCAACTGGAAATCAACTCAGATGAATGGCTGAATCTAGACACCAGTGAAACTAGCGACTGCTTCACAGACATAGTGATTGGGACTGACAGACTGCAAAACGGATCCACAAAATATTTTTATTCTTTCCCACCTGACAGTTTTCAGCATAAATCCCCAGATCTTAACCACTGGTAAATCTCAGGCACATTTAAAAAAATCTTTCCATTTTTATAAGTAAAAATGAAATTTAATCTGACCTAAGCTTTGCTTTGAGATTCAGCAGGCTGTTTTCAAGCATGGAGGAGCATGTGGGGAGCCCCAGGAAGGTTCTGGAAGGGCCCAAGAGTGTGATCTATGCTGAATGATTATGAGCCTCTCCTACTGACCTCTCCAGTGACCTGTGGCTGTTCTTACATGGTGCATGCAATAGGCGCCCACACTGCTCTCCCCTGGGATCCCCAGGAATCTCACAAGGAAGAGCCCATGGGCAAGACTCTCTTTATGAAGGACAGGGAAGAGGAATGGCTGTCTGGCCTGCTGATGGGACAGCCTGCCAGGGTTCTCCTGTGATGCCCTGTGTCCATGGTCAGGCAGCCCAGTGTAAATAGGCTGCACTCTTTCCCACCTAACAAAGGAGTACAAGTTACATTTTTCTACAAAATAATATGTGGACACATATAACTAAAGTGAGATGGTGCACATGAAATGACATAGAACATGTTGCTCACCCCTGAGCCTGGGAAGCGCTGCACCTCAGTTCATGGTGCTCTGGCTTCTGTCCTCCTCCTCACCATCATTTTCACCACTACCAAAGTCCTTTAATAGAGCTTTGGA